AAAAAAAATATGAGAAGTTTTTGTTTCAACGTTTTTTTGGAGACGGCACGGTCCATGCGAATGGCTTATGTCTAGATCCGTTGCAGAGAGTGTTGATGTTATATACGGGTATTAATGTCATTACCTATTTATTTTCTATTTTTCATGCTGGTGGTATTGAAGTTAGAAAGAAACGGTATTGTTTTAGCCGTGACTCGTACAAAATTGAGTAGTAAAATAAAAAATATTTTGTCTGTGGGACCACAGTCAAGTCCCAATCCATGCAGTTCCGGCAGGGCCGACACGTGCGTTTTCAGTTGTTTTCATTGTCAGCTCTGAATGATGCTATTTTTTGCGTAGAGAATTGTTTTGAACCAAGTGTGAATAAATAAGATTTGTCACATTTATTGAGTATTGACTAATATATCTCATATTTATTTTTGCTTGTACATTTTAAAATTTGGTAATAAATCGACCACCTTGGCATGTTGTTGAAAAAAAGAAAAAAAGAAAGATAGTAGACACCCGCAGGTAATTAAAGCCATCTTAACTACATTCCACAAATTAATTTTAAGGTAATCACAATTCTTTAAGCAACCTTACACGTTTGGCATCCTCAAACAACTAGAATTAGGTTTAGAAACTACAAAATTATGTCTTCGTAAACGACGAGCTTTTGAATTACGTCACACAGTCAGTGGCGAGTCCAGAAATTTGTTATACAGTGGACTTAATTTTTCGAGGGCTGAACGACAGTGCCTCGGAAAAAAAAAATATATCTTTTTGCATTAATTTAAATTTTTAGTAGGCTAATTAATAAAAGTAAGTTGGATTAAATACGATTATAAGTATAATTTAATGAGGTAAATTTTAATTGAGGGCGGACTTGCCCACCCTAGCCATCCCTAATCTCGCCTCTGTACCCAACTAAGAGTATTAGTGTTATACTCATCACTTTAATGTGAAGATTGGGGTATTTTAGAGGGTAATTAATTGGGGTTGCGTTATTACCAGAACTCGGTGAAATATGCATGTATACTAGGATATAATTCGGTGAAATTCGTCGGATACAACCATTTGCGAGTCCACCATATGACGAGGGTGGACTCAACCCACCACCCCACCAAAAAAAAATATTACAAATTTTTGCATCATATTATACATATATCTTTTAATGCAAAAACTCAAATTACATATATCTTTTAGCCCACACAATTTTTATTATAAAGCCAATCCAAAACTCAAATTAATACAAAAAATAAAATTGTAACTTTTTTGTTATTTCCTATTTTCTGATTGTGTCCTATATTTTCTTCACAGACTCCGAGTCCCCACAAATTTAAGCTTAGCCTATAACAAATTTTTAGACACACTAATGAATGCAGGATAGGTTAACCTATTTGAAGTAGACAATCGTGAGGATACAAAAGATAAATTTCATAGGATATTTAGCAACTAAAAATTTCAGAGCATGCGATTCCAAGCTTTGTACGGCGAGTTGAACACAACCCTTATAGTTTAATTCATATATGGCCCAACATCATCCTTTTATTTTATGTGTTTGAAGATCCAAAGTTGTCGATTTTGGAAACAAGGCGCGAAATAAGGCTTTTCTTATAGCCAGATACGAAGAGACAAAAGGGAAATAATTTTTTGCAATTAATTGAAATTTATGAGAAAAAAAATATCTAACTAGAAAATAAACTTGAATTCCAAAATTCATATCACACACAAGTAAGAGAATCCAAACTCTAAAGTCTACTTTTCCTCATATTGGAGCCACTGTGTATCACAAAAATTTCAACTTCTCAACATATTCGCGTTTCGGCCACGTTTCATGTCCAACACTCGAGGACACCTGTAGACAGAGGCGGATCGGACCCAACTTATTTGTAATGGAGGGGCTAAACTTGTTATTAATATCATTAATTAAAAAACTTACATTTAAAGATAACAAAAAAATCAAATCTGCAGGGCGGTAGCCCCCTTAAAATTGGCTATTGGTACGCTCATGCCTGCAGAATACCTTATAGGCTATGCTGTTTTGCAATTTCTAAAAAGTTAGAAATATGTTTGAATAATGAATTTCCAAATATTTTGTTGCTTCCCTAATTATTTACATGGTTTAATAACCAATTGCAAATTGATAGTAAATAATAATATTTATTTTAAATATATTTGTATGGAATATATTAAATGAATTTGTATATAAATAAAATCTTATATATGTATATAGCAAATATATCCTTACACTTTTAATATTTACATATTTCCCTCAAGTTTATGTATCCCCATTTTCAAGACATGCCGTTTTCCGTGCCCATTTTCCCGTTTCCCATCATTCTTTTAATGTCCGTGCTACATAGCTCACTCGTCATCAGTTTACTTGCATTATACGTCATTGCAAAAATTTAAGTTTCTTCTCCCTCCTTCCCATTTTAATTGTCTTTCTAGAGAAAAAAATTAAAAAATTATCACTTTATACTTTCAAAGGAACATTTATTATACTTTCTTAACTTTTCCTTTCTAGTCTTTATAATTTATTAAGAGATAATTTATTGTGAAACAATTAATGATCTATGATGCACATAAACGTCTACCTATGTGTGCGCACATTTGCACGTCTTGAAAACGAAATGCCACGACACCTGTCGGAAACGTTTTGGGGCCGTTTATAAATATTTAAAAGTTTCGGAGACGTTTCTATTAATAATAAAAAATTGGAAACGCATTTCAACCAAAAAAAAAAAATCAAAACTTTATTTTGAATAAGAACTTGGAATTGCATGCACTTAAAAAAAAAAGCTTAAATCATATATCTATTTTTCACTTTTAGTAGTAATGTAATATTTTTTTTAGATGTTAATTCCATACTAACATAAATTTATATGCCCCCAACCCCAATGTAACTTGCGGAGTGATAATTCGGAGTGGAATCTGTAAAAAATATATATAATTTGTAGATACAAATATATAAATATATAATTGACGATGTATATAAGTTAAATAATTTTTTAATTTTTTTAAAAAAATATGAATATACCCCTATATTTTTAATAGTTACGTGTTTCCCCACATTCTGGTATCCTATTTTTTGAAAATGAAGTTTTCTCATGTCCGTTTCTCCATGCCATGTTCCTTTCATGTGTCCGTACTACGTAGATTATGATGTAAACCTCGTTAGTATGCCAAATTTTTGGGAGATAGCTCCAAGCAAATTCCCCTAAGAAACGTGCTACGTTCTTCATATTATTTATTTTCAGGTTACTTGTAATTACACGCAAAATTTAATTGAAATATCATAGCTCCTAACAAACCCTAGATCAATTCGTCACATTTTTTTTAGGTGAATTCCATAAACCTCAACTTTGTTCCAATAATTTACAAATCACAACAGACATATAATTTACGTTATCAAACACAACTAGGGGTGTCCATTGCGTCAAACCGTACCGAAATTTTGGTAAACTGAAAATTCAGTACGTTAAAATTTCATATTGTTTATCGAACCGTAATACAGGGTTCACTTGGGTAATTTACCGAATTTCTCGAAAATTTTGTTAAAAGAATCTAAAAATTAATTAAAACTCGAATATTTATTTATTTCTGTAATTTTTGGTATAAAAATAATTTGTCTTACAGTATATATATATATATATATATATATATATATATATATATATATATATATATATATATATATATATATATATATATATATATATATATATATATATATATATATATATATATATATATATATATATATATATATATATATATATATATATATATTTATTTATAAATATAAATATATATATATATATATATATATATATATATATATATA